GATGATGGTGAATGCGTCTGTATCCGGGGCATCATCTGGTGGGTAGGTACTGGTGAAACGGTGATTGGGTAAAAAAATACCATAGGTGGTGGCGATGATGATGAAGATTGTGGTGGTATGATCAGTGGTGGGGTGATAGCCGAAGTTTGTTGAAATGGCAAAGTGACGTTCGAAAGATTTAAATCCTGCCCGGCCCAATTTTTAAATTGTTTTTGTTGTTTTTCTTGCTGCTGCTGCTTTTGCTGCGACTGCTGCTGCTGTTGTTGTTGTTTTTGAAGCTGCTGCTGTTGCTGCAGTTGTTGTGGTTGCATTTGATGTTGAGAGTCATTCTGCTCCCGTTGTTGTTGTTGCTGCTTTTGTTGCTCGCTTAATGTTGACATAGTGTCCGCACTTTTAGATTCGAGATTATTGTTGGCTTTGTTCATTAGAAGTTCAAAGAAATGTTGTTGTTTTGGCTGTTGCAGTTGCTGTCGAGTTTGTTGTAGTTGCTTAAGTTGTTGTTGATTTAGAAATTGTTGTTGTTGAGAGTTTGTATTCAATTGAGGCGATTGTGGTCTATGAGCTTTAGATGATTTAATTTGCTGTTGCTGTAGTTGTTGCTGCTGTTGTTGATGTTGTTGTTGCTGATGCTGATGTAGTTGTTGTTGCTGCTGCAGTTGTTGTTGTGTTGGAACGATTAATGTATCTTGTTTCATTAATTGTTTTAATTGAAATGATTGTTGCTGCTGTTGTTTCGATTCAAATAGAGATTGTTGGGAAATTTTCAATTGCTGCAGCTGTTGTTGTTGCAGTTGTTGTTTCTGCTGTTGCTGCAGCGGCTGCTGATCGTTTTTTTGCTGTCGTTGCGTAACGCCAATGTCAACAAGCAGCCACTGAGGCTGTCCGTTCGTGGCATATCGCTTCGAAAAATCGACATTCCTATTTGCACAGAGTTGCTTCAAGAAGGGCGACTCATCAAGCAGTGCGTGCTTTTGAAACGTTGCTGATCGCGATTTTGTGGCCAGTTTTGTCGCTGCGGTTGCGGCGAAGTTTGTCGCTGACGATGACGTTGATATAGAAAGAGGTGGGTGTGGAATGAAAAAGGGCGGAGTTAAAGTACGGAGAGAAAGTGATTGGAGTGGTGAGAGTGAGCCGGTTTTTGATTGGTTAAAAGCTGCTTTCTGTTTTGGGATAATGATGGCGATGATGACGACGACGACGATGAAGATGACGATGATGATATTGATGATGATAATAATAATAATGAACGATATATAATGAACGATGATATGATTGTCAAACTGATAATACAATGAGATACGAACCTTTGGGAATGATTTTCTGCTATCTGCGTTTGGAAAATTTGCAATAAATGTTATTATCCTCAATCTCATCATCATCGTCGTCATCGTCATCATCATCCCCATCATTATCATCATCATCATCACCATCGTCACCATCATCTTGGTTACCTTCCATGCCAACATCATCATTGAGACCATTTTTAAGGAATAAGCTCTTCGTTATGATCTCCGATACAACGTTCCTAATCACTCTGAAGATGATGACGATGATGACAATGATGGTGATAGTGATGATTGTGATGATAATGGTGGTGATGGTAAGGGGAGGACGATGATGGTGGTGATGTTGATAACTATGGTGATAATTTTGATAAAAAACAAGAGTAAAAATGAAATTTATACTGAGCAATCATTGTATCTCCATTATTATTTTCATCACCATCATTTTCATCCTCCTCTTCATCATCATCATCTTCTTTATCATCATCATCCGTGTCACCATTCTCTTCATCATCCTCTTCATCATTACCATCATCATCCTCTTCATCATCATCATCTTTATCACCATCCTCTTCACCATCCTCTTCATCATCGTCATTATCTTCATCATCCTCTTCATCATCTTCATCTTCATCACCATCCTCTTCATCATTCTCTTCATCATCACCATCATCATGACGAACAAACTTACTCATTCTGTTCAGTCTCATCATTCAGTGATCGAATCGACAATGACAGAGCAGAGAATGATGACGATGATGACGACTTCTCCCCCTTAGTCACGTGATAACCATGTGATGATGATGAAGACGACGACAACACCGAGTGCGATGATGATGATGATACACATGGAGGTGATAATGATAACTGGGCAGACGATTTGGTGGGCAGCTGATTTGAGAATGATGATGATCTCGAAGGGGCGAAGGGTGATAGTAGTGATGCTGTTGGATGGCGTGATGAAGATGATGACGATGCCAAGCCGTGTTGTTGTTGATGTTGTTGTGGTGCTGGCTGTAAATTGCGTTGTTGTTGTTGTTGTTGTTTTATCCAAAATGACGGCTGGTTTTTAGGTTTTGTTTGTTGTTGTTGTTGTCGTTTTCGTGAGTGATGTTGATTTTCTATAAGTTGTTGTTGTTGTTGTTTTTGTTGTTGTAGAGGCTTTTGTTGTTGTTGTGGACGCTCTGAAGATCTCTGGCGCTCTAAC